CGGACAAGGTCGCGGCGTTTAACGCTCTTTGGGTATCAATAGTGATGATCACACCCGACAAGATTTTACGCTAGGCTAGGGGGCTTGCATAGCTACGACTGAGAGAGACCCCATCTCTATTTTAGTACTCTGCAGCAATTCAGCTGCAATTTCATGGGTCTGGCAGGAAGAGAGACGCGGTTAAAAGTAGAACACATCCGCTTTGGGGAAAAATACCAAATAAAATCTGTTAATCCCATGGGGAAACATTCAAACATGGAGTCATCGCGACAAGGAACAAGAAAAGAAACATTTAAAAAATTAATGCTTTACTCATGATAGGAATTCAGTAGGACAGAAAACAGCTCTATTGGGATCCTCTTTGAGCCTTGCAAAAAAACAAAATAATGAGGGGCAGACAGAGCAGGCAAGCGCGGCGTATCTCTCTCACCTTTGTGAAAAAAAACAAACAAAGAACAACTTTGATAAATTTCACAGATCTCTCTCTGAGAATCACCTCTCACTGCCTCAGTCAGCTCATATACCCCCACTGTACGCCCCCTCCAGGCCTATAGTCTTTTCCAGTCTCTTAAGTTTTCTGTCTTTTATCTTTTTTGAGTAAGTTCAATTCCATTCCATGAGATGAACCATTTTGTGCTTTAACCAGACCCGTGAACTACTTGTCTCTCTTGTCTACAGAGATCAGAACAAGCAGCTTATTGTGCTGCAGCTCAGCATTGGAGTATTTATCAGAGGGTTAGAGGCCTGCACAGAGCAGCTGTTGGTGTCAAGGGGGACTAAATAGTACATCATCATCATACATTGTTGTCATGGATCTTTTCCTTCCACCTAACACTCATGTTCAACTTTGTATGTTTTATGGCATAAAGCCCAGTGACATGCATAGGATATTGTATTTAAATGTGATGGAGTTCAGATGACAAAAGTATGAACATTTCTGTGAGACACTGTAGAGTAAATTAACAGCTTTCCTTTTCTCTGCCAGCTCCCTGAGCCATACCAGGCTGGTCAGGTCCCTAGGCAACCTGCATGTAGTGGCTGGCAACAGCGACCCAATGTACTGTGAGCCATGTGGCAGCCATAGAGACACAGCCAGTGTCAGAGCCAACACAGGCACCTTCACCAACTTAAACGCAGCACAGGGACACCTGCAGGCAAGCTCCCTCAGACACACTCTGAGCCCAGTGGAGACTTGGGGCTGCAATTAAATGCAAAGAAAAACATTCTATTTTGGGGATTTTTCTGTAACAGACAGGAAAATATTTTAGCACCTCTTCAAAGGTTAAGGTGTTGAATTTATTTAGCATAGAGGAATGTGCAGAAGGATTAGAGATATGTGGCTCATTTGCAGGTTTGAGTTCAGAAACTCTCATTATTAAACTTTTCCTAATGATCACCATAATGCAGCTCTTCTAACCAGAACTTTTCGTATCTATATCATCTATATCCTCAGCAGAACAACAGGCTGATCCACTTCATGGTAGCTGCATTGATAGTGTAAAAAAGGAATATTGAGAGCAAGTAGTGAAATACTTGTAATGCTCTAATATTCTTCTAATATTGACTCACTGATTTTATTAGCTATGAGCTAATATTAGCCAAAGTAAAATAAATAAAACTTGCAATTTTTCTAATGAATTGAGGAGACTCACATTTTGTACCGAATTACTTAAAGGAGCTAATTTCAGAGTAATGCTGGGATTTACAGAGATCTCTACACTAATTTACCAGCTTTTCTCTGGTTCCTGAAGATCTCTCTGCACTAATTTACCAGATTATTTCTAATTTATGGGGATTTCTCTGCATTAATTTACCAGATTATCTCTAGCCAATGGAGATCTCAGCACTCATTTACCAGATTATCTCTAGTTCATGGATATCTCTCTGCACTAATTTACCAGATTATTTCTACTTTAAGGGGATTTCTCTGTATTAATTTACCAGATAATCTCTAGCCAATGGAGATCTCTGCACTAATTTACCAGATTATTTCTAATTTATGGGGATTTCTCTGCACAAATTTACCGGATTATCTCTAGCTAATGGAGATCTCAGCACTAATTTACCAGATTATTTCTACTTTAAGGGATTTCTCTGTATTAATTTACCAGATAATCTATAGCCAATGGAGATCTCTGAACTAATGTACCAGTTTATCTATTTCTCTATTCACGGATAACTGTCTTTAATGATTAAGCAGATCATCTTTTCTAATTTATGGGCGTTTCTCTGCACTAATTCACAAGATTATCTCTAATTTATGGAGATTTCTCTGAACTAATTCACCAGATTATCTCTAGTTCATGGATATCTCTGCACTTACTTACCAGATTATTTCTACTTTAAGGGGATTTCTCTGCATTAATTTACCAGATTATCTCTAGAATAGGAATTTTCTATTTTTTTGATTTTGTGGGATTTATTAAAACAGCTGTTTATATTGAGATTTTTTTTTTTTTACATCATACAGTTTAGATAACCTGACATCTTTCTTACACAACTAAAATGTCCCATGCTTATAATACATCTGCAAATGTGTCTCGTCTGCAACTTCTTGAATCTCCTCTTGCCTGTTCTTACAACAGTAGCATCTTTTAAATTATGACTGGCTATAGCTTTTCTGGACTTTGCTGCTCACTGTGTGGTCTGCCTGTGGTCGTTAGCCGCTCCTTAAGCTTATTTGGCATCCTTTATTTGTGCTCACCCTTTTCTCTCTGTCTTGCATGCAACAGACCTGCTGTGTCACGAGGACGTAAAGTTCGCAGCTCTTTGCAATCAAATAGATTTTCCAGACTATGGTATCAATCTTCTCATTCCTTTTGTAGTAGCTTTCTTTCATATAAATGTTTAATGTATATCTTTTTGTGAAATATTTTAATGACTGTTTTTTTTTTTTTCTTTTCTTTTAGTCACTCCATACCCAAAGCTAGAGCTCCTCTTCTCCGGTAAACCTGTGGATCTGGGAAAAAAAATAAAAAAATCAGGATATCCAACATGAAACAAGTCTGCATGAATATTGATTTGAAGCGACCGTTTACTGCAGACAAACCTGGACGTTTATGTTTGGGTATTTTTTAAAGACGCAGCATAATTCATTTTTAAATCATGAGCTTGTTTTTTATTTACTGAATCATGCAGATGTCCGATTGAACCACAACCGGTGTATAATATGTAAATCTTAGAAATGATCCATGAAAAACTCTGACTCCAAGTAAAGTTGTACTGCCGCTCAGCATGTTTTGTACAAGGCCTGTCATTTGGCCAGCTTTTAAGCTCCTTTATTTCAAAGCTGTATATGTCAACATTTATTATACGGTTTATATATTGTAAATATTTTGTACTGTTAAAAATCATGTGATTAAAAATGTCCTAATGGGGCATTTACTATTGATAATCCAAGAAAATTAATTTTCAATAAATTTGCTTCCAGATGAGTCTGGCTTTGTTTTTGCTCATGTTTAGAATGGACTGGATTCAAACAGCTTATTAGACACGGTCAATCCACAAGTAAAAGGTATTTTATTACTATTCTTCCAACATTTTTATCCTTATATTCTATGGTACTTTAATTAAAAATCCCAGGATATTGGAAGTGTAGCTACAGACACTGATGTTTGGACTTTGTTTTTAATCACAGGCAGATGACATCTGCTTTTAAACCACTAAGTCAAAAGATTGACAGGACACCCCCTCCCTAAGAGTTGTTCCGTTATTTAGTAGTAAGAAAAAAAACCTTTTTGCTTTGTTCTTCTCTTCCACAACTGATTATCCTGGAATTATTGAAGTGATCCACAGCTTTTCAAATTGCAGGCTAAGGTCAGGGAACATAATATTGTCTCCCTTTAGTGTCCTACCTTCTGTGGCAGAACAATCTGCACTAGTTGTGTTAATTGAATGTTGACAAATTCTCCTCTATGAAAGCAATATTTATTAAATGCTCAGATTGGATGAGATTTGACAAGTCATACCTGTTTCCATTGTTACAATTTATCCAGTCAATGCAGCCATCTACACATGTGGACAACATATTTGGTACCCTTGCTTGATGAAGGAAAAAGCAACAGTCATATAAATAACTAATCTGGCACATATTGCTTTTTAACCATACCAACAAAATTATTTTAAAAACTAAACTCATAAAACAGGCCTGGACAAAAATTATGGTATGCTTAACTTACTATTTTGTGACAACCATTTGAGGCAATCACTGCAGTTACACAATTCCTGTAACTGTCGATCAAACTTCTGCTCCTCTCAGCAGGTGTTTCGGTCCGCTCCTCATATGCAAACTGTTTCGGTTATATTAGGGTTTGAAGGGCTGTCTTTTCCAGAGAGCATGTTTCAGCTCCTTCCAAAGAGGCTCAATTTAAGTCAGGGCTCATAGGCCACTTCAGAATAGTCCAATATTCTCTTCTCAGCCATTATTGGGTGTTTTTAGTGTTTTGGGTCGTTACCCTGAGACAACTGGGACCATGTTTTCTGACTCTAGGCAGCATATTTCGCTCTAGAGTCCCTTGGTAGTCTTCAGATTTTATTGTACAATGCAGAGATTCAGACACCCTGTCCCAGATAATTAGCACCAGAACATGCATGACAGACCTTCCACCATGTTTCACCGCAGGGACAGTTTTTTCTTGAGATGCTTCATTTTTCCGTCTACGAACATAGAGCCGATGTGCCTTGGTAAAATGTCGATAAGACATTGTCCCAGAAGCTTTGTGGCTTGTCCCCATATAGTTTGGCAAATTCTTGCCTGGCTGTTTTCATATTATGTCCTACTTGGTCATCTACCATTAAATCCACTTTGGCTCCAATACTGATGGTGTGTACCGACATTGATGTTCCTTGAGCTTGAAGCTCATCTTCAATCTTTTTAGAAGTTTTTATGGCGTTTTTGTTACCATTCATATTTTCCATCTCTGATTCGTTACCATTTGCTCCTGTGGTCACATCCAGAGGTCCCATGCATCTTAAACTTCTGTTTTAGCTGTACTTCCAATATGTGCAAATGCAGGCACAAAAATCAAGCTGCATGGAGATGTTCTTAAAGCCTTTCCAAAAAAGCTAAACAAACAGGCCTTTGTTTCCAAGTTTGAAGACATTTTGCTTCCCATCCAGGAAGCTTTTAAATTCAAAATTTCAGAATAGCGTTGAGCTCGAGGCATTATACAGTAGCTAACATGGGCTATCGTCTCAGGAATGACCGTGACCAGGATGACTAAGAATCTTCACCTGTATCTTATATCCTTAGACTTTAACATGAATGTCTATAATTCTCTTTTAATCTCCTTAAACCGCTCTTTCCTCCCCTTCTGTTCCATGGTGAGTATGGCACATATATGTCAAACAGCACAGTTACCCCCCGTAGCATTTATTTTGGCTCAATCCCAAACCACCCGCTAAGCACTACTCCTTAACTGTCAAGTGTAACTCCCAATGAAGTCACACTTGCAGCTCTGGAGGGCAACTCGATTGAAGGTGGGGGGTATAAATCAGAATAGAACAGCCTCTTCCCTCCAACAGAAAAAGAAAGCAGTCGTTCCTATGGCGACAGTCGATCGCAGTGGCTTAGGTTTACATTACAAACTTCTTCCCCTTTTTAAAAAATGTTTACAGTCAAATAAAACCATTTCATAGTATTTGAAACCATTTCAGTATTTAATATAACGTCAGCATGTTTGACCATACAATCAGACCCGATTCAGTGGCACATCAGATGTTTGTAAAGAGCTGGTCAGGAGTGACAGCCAATCACACAAGAAAAGACTGGACCAATCAGGAGCTTGTGGGACTGTATAAACTCACGGAAGCAGGCTTCAATTTGAGCTGCGTTTTTCCACTTGGTCCTAGTGCTCAACCCATGTCTGTACTGTAGTATACATGCAGGGGACAAAATGGACAAAATGTTCCAGTCTATATGTCCAAGTGTGGCAGTGATAGCGTTTTTTTTTTTTCCCCCACTTAGGTGTATGTACCAGCAGATAGAAAATTAACTTTGCAAAAGCTTTTATTGAACACAGTTATAAGTGCAGCAGAACCTCAAAAGAAACATGAACAGTTTTGTAGAAGGCAGTAGGTGAAATCCTTCAGCGCCCTGCTGTAAGGGCTGGGAAGTCTTCAGGGTCATCAGGATTCGGCGCCATTCCATCCTCCTAATTGGGAAGAAAAAAAAAACTGCTTATTTTTAGGAAGCATAAAAATCAAATGTCAATATTTTAATAACTACATTTGAGATACAGAAGCCAGCTGATTGATGGAATTTATAACTTACCCTTTCAACAATGGGTGTGGGTCTTTCTGGGCGAATGCTTTGACCAACTCGTGCTCCTCTGCCACGGCCCCCACGGCTAGGACGTCCAAGAGTCCCGAAGTTTATATCCATGAGGGTGGTGATGTCATTCATGGACCTGCGAAGAAAGTTTCCCTCTTCCTCAACCTCCTCTACAGTCTCCTTCGCATTCTGAAAATTGAACACAAATGCAGCTGAACTTTGTTGGGGGAAAAGTCCATTTCTTATAGAATCCCCTCATAATATTTTATTTAATCTTTAAAAAGTATTAACTCAGATGACATAGCTGTCTACAACAGCACATTTCTACACAAATGAAGCTCTATAACAGTAAGCCACTTGGATCAAATGGGAGCTTATGGTAACCTCTGGATGACCTAAAAAAAATATCTCAATATCTTAAAAGTAGCAAGAATGATCATTTAATTGTACAAACCTGCATTAAGAAAGTACCAACCATTCAGTCCATATACAGAGTTTTTTTTTTATATGGGTGGGGTGTCAGCTTCATACAGCTAGGAAACTGTAGTTCTTATTTATATACAGTAACAACCTTTAACAAAAATCTTTTTTTAAGTGCATTTCCATTCTACAGGAAAGTGGACTGAAGAACAAGCTTCATCCAAATTGCCACAATCTTTGTTGAAAGTCCAACCCTATACCCAAAAGCCACACAGACTAAATAAGCCCTCATAAATTGTGGAGAATGCATCTATTGAGAGCTTTACCTTTTACTGAATCCTCAAACATCTTTTTATTCTCACCTCCAGGTACTTTGACTCGTGGATGACTTTTGCCTTTGAGGGAATCTTATCCTGAGCTTTGCGGATATTGAACTCTACTTTGGGGCGGTTCACCTCCTGCATGGCCTTCCACTCATCCAAGCTCATCTCCATGGCAACCTGGACCACCACCTCATTGTCCTCATCCATTCCTCTGAAATGAGGCCAAACAACTTTAGTCCTATTTATCACTGTTTTTAATTGTCATAACGTTTGGTGTACAGTTCATGAAAGGAAGAACTTTTACATCTATGTGTTCCTTTTTTCCTTTTTCACTCACGGGTTTGCATTCTCCTCCACAGCTGACTGTTGCTCCTCAGTCTTGACTCCAGGATCAGTCATCACCTCCATCATCTCACTTCAGAAAATAACTTGCATTAATATTTATAAGACACAACTGTCCTGAAGTACTAAAGTTTCTGTTTTGTGTCAAGTTAACTGACCTTACAGCTTCCACAGGACTGCCCCAGTTCCAGGGTCCCCTGCCTCCTCGCTTTTCATCTGAAGACATCCCTCTGCAACCAGAAAATTATAATCCACCATCTACAACTCACAGGCCTTCCTGGTTATCATGAAAGCGGACCCTTACGTTCCATCGTGCCGATCATATTCCCTCTTGCCTCTCAGATAAAATTGGTCAGAGTTTCTTGTGTAACCTCCACCTCTCGCTCCTCTTCGGCCTCTGAATCCCCCTCTGCTGCTGAAGTCTGAGGCTTCGTTAAAGGAGGGCCTATAAACCACATGAACTGATTATTGCAGTTCTAGGATTTTACCCTCTGCTGTTGCATACGCCAAATAATTGACTTAAACAGTAGGAGCTGGTGAAAGGGCTCAATGCAAAGCTTCCCAACTTGTTCAGACCAATTCCAGAAACCTTAGAAAGGCTAAACGACAGAGTAATAAAGAGAGATCAGAATCTGCTGCCTTTACACCCCACACTGCTAAAATGACTCAACATGAATTAAAAAAAAACATTACAGACGGTTCCTTTATGTAAAATGTCATATTATAACCCTGTTAAATAAAGATATCAAGATTAAGACGTTTCAGGTTTTTAAGTTCTCATACTCTGGTATTTAAGTTTTCCCTGGTTTTGTTTTAACCACACCTTGACTAACTTAAATATTGCTGGATTACTATAAAGTAATTCCAATAAACATTAAAACTCTACCTTCATCCTAAAAAAACTCAATTCAAACTACAGACACACTGAAAACTTTGCCACTGAAAATTATGTAGAAGTTTTCTGGCCAATAGGCAAACATGAAACACGATAGAAATTTATGATGATGCAACAAACAGCACAGCGACCATGTATAAACGTTGATCGTGAAGAAAAGAGCACAGGTAGCGGAGCAGAGTTTGTCAGAGTGGAGCACATTGCAGACAGGTTTAGAGATGGGCGGTGAGTGTTTAAACGCTGCACAGTTCAGTGGCACAAAATGCCATCGAAACCCAAATGTCCCCCATCACCATTCTGAATGAGAAGAATGCAACCCAGAAGGAAACAGACAATAATGAAGTAGTTATCCCACCGATGATCCAGTGGATGGACAGGCTTTTATACATCCAATTTGAAACACCCCTTGCAGACTGAACATTTCCACAAACGGCAGCTACTAAATTCAAAGTCACTTAGAGCAACACCACTGACTGGTTCAAGCAGGAAGATTTTAAGACTGAGAACTTCAACACTTGAAGAGACCCCACATGATGGGGATACGACAGTTTTGGTCAGAGCATTCTCTCCAACCACACTGCATTTGAACCAGTTTTACCTCTTGACAAAGAGCAAAGAATGAACAGAGGATCAATATAAAATGAGAGATTGGCTTGATTTTACTTGCTGTGATTAATGGGCAAGAAAAAAAGAGAAATTATGTTCATGAGCCAGACAGAAATGTCTGATGACGTTCATGGATTTATGCCAACAGCTCTGAAGGAGGAGCGATCACTGCTTGGATGCAGGTACCATCTCAGTCTGCTCTCATATCAGCTTCTCTGAATGGCGTGACATGCAGTGTCAAGCTGCAAAAGCTCAGATTTTCAAACTCCAGTATCTGATTGGAAGGTGCTTGTCTCCAGGAACACCACACAGAATATTGAGCCAAGACAACCCAACACCTTAAAGTCCTAATAGTTTCACCAAGGAAAGTTAGTACAGATGGTAAATACGAGTCCAATAACATTGGGTCTAATGCAACAATATTTTCATATCGTCATACATTTCTTTACTTTTTTCTCCTACCATAGGCTCTTATGAAGGTGCCGCGTCAGATTCAACAAACTCTCCTAACTTCAGCAAATAATCCTCATAAACCTGATGCAATCGATCTGTGCACGTTAGCAGGCATGTTTTCGAGACATGAAAATCTTGATAAGAACTGCCCAAATAATGCCATATAAGCCTACAGCTTCCAACGCTTGTTCATTTACAGACACGGCATTGAAGACAAAGAAAAACTACTGCTTTGGAGATTAAGGAGCTCTGCAGACAGATGAGCTGCATAATTCAAGGACCAGTAAAAAACAAGCAGTGAGAAATAAATCATAAGAGCTTTCACTATTCCAGTGGGGGCTTTCCATTGACTTCCACTCATTTGTAGGTGAATTCTACAGTCTAACCTTGACCCTTAACCTAAACCTAACCATTACAAGTAAATTCCCAACCCTAACCTAAACTCATTTCACACCTTAGTCCTAAACCCAACACCCAACCCTAAATCAGCATTCATACACATGGGGACCAGACATTGGTCCTCACAAAGTGCTATGACTTATGGAAAATGGTCCCCACGATGTAAGAAATACACACCCATAACCACCTGGTATTTTATGCTCCATGTTACATCTGGTATCCATCACACTCTCCGTCTCATACAATGCATAGTAAAAGTGTTTGCATCAAAATTCTAATTTGAGCAATTTAGACAGACCCGAACATATTTTATATAACAAGGCTAAAGATTTGCCATGGAGGGAAATCTATGCAAGTCTCAACATTAGAGTTTCAAGCACCAACATGTTACATAATTTATATTTCATTAAAAAAAATCTTTGGCTATCAGATTATGATCTGAAGAAATAATCGGCAGATGAATCGATTTGCAAAATAATTGTTAGTTGCAGCTCTACTTGCAACAGTAAATAGGTAGTGCTTAGAAATCTGCCGATTTTCACCTAAGCGGTAACCAACCAGGTTGTTGATCATGTCAATTAGTTTTTCTGAGCAGATTTTAATCTTTCTAATGCACTTGGTCGGCGTTAGTTTTGATCATAGAGTCCAACACAGATGAACGCCTCGCCCAGCCAGAGGTAAAGCATGACATTTTAAGCTCAGACAGAATTAGCGGGGAATCAGCATGAGAACACCAGAAAAGTGCCATAACAAGTGGCCAGTGAGTTATGGTTATTTATCCTAATGCGTACTTGCTTACTAGCTTGCTCGTTTACAGCAGGTATCACTGTATGTAAGCTCAGTCAGAATTACAGCAAAGCTCATCAATCTGAATGTTCAGGATTAGTTATCTAAAAACTGCAGTTTAACTGGAAGCCTCCAGCATCTAAACAGCTAATTATTGAAATGTATCACAAAAACTGGCTTAAAGTCCTGCTACCTTTACTTTAAGCCTGTATTAGTTCCCATGGCTGATGATTCAATATGCATATAACATTGAAATGCTTTTATCAACTCCATTTATGAACCAAGGAAAAAAAAAAGCAATTTAGAAATTTGACACAATATAAGCAGAGATGCGATCACCAAATAATCAGTCATTACATACTTTGGGATTGAGAACTCCAGTAGATCCTCTTTGTTCAGTCCCCGTTGGCCCCCAGTGCCTCTCTTTATGTTCCTCTGGGCCTCAACGCGACCTTCTCTGCCCTCCACCACCAATGCTGGAACTCCCTGTTGCTTTCGCCCTGAAGACACAACAGAACTGGTAAGATGCAGGTACAGATACCAAATGTCTCAACCCAGATCATGGATTTACAGGCAAGTAAAATGTTTTCCGTTTCCTTTTCTGCTTGCACGATCGACGTTTCTGTGTGCTGGAAGTGCCTTTTGCCTTACAAAACCCCGCACCAATTCTAGATGTGCCATTGTCACAGCATCACAAGTTTCGGACGTCTTGTTTCAGTGTTAATGTCTTATGAGCTAAACTGAAAATGCACTTTTCAGTTAATTAGGTCATGCCAAATAGAACCTACATTTTAGGATAAAATGTATTATTTTGATATTTATTTAATGCATGCATTCCAAGTAACATTGGCTGGAGGTGGCTTCCTCAGGTGAGAGTCGTCTTACAGTTTTCATGTCACAGTGATGGATTTATGATCTGCAGTGCAGCGAGTATAGCAGCTCAGTAAACTTTAAAGAAGCTGCCTCAGTAGCAGAACCATTTAGAAGGAATGGCAGGTGGAATTACTTCAAATGGTGAGGGCTAACTGGAGGAAAATGATAGGAAAAGAAAAAAGCATTTCTTTGCAAATGAAGTAAAAAAAAAAAAAAGCCCTTTACTACTACTTTATAAATTGCATAGGATCGGGTCTCGAATTTATTCAGGCAAACCTATTAATGTTACGGAAGTGCAAAGCTGACAAACTAGTGACTGCAGAGATCGCCATCACACCAAAATTTGACAACATGCACCATCAGTGGGCCCCCAAAATGTGTGTGCTCAGGGTCCTATAAAAACTTTGGACCGCCTCTGACAGTAACGGTTTTGGTCCAGGCAGTCTCTGCACAGAACCCTGTGGAAGAGATGAAGTAGAACAGCAGCCAAACAGCTCTGCTGACTTTGCATCATTAAAAGCTGACCCAGCTGGAGCAGACTGCACTCTCCACTCCCCCCCAAAAAAGAAAAAAACAAAACCGAACAGCACCTGCCAGCCTAGAGCCGCCTCGTCTCCAGGGGCAGAGCTAGGAGGGAGTCCGAGCAGGGCCACCCATAGGCAATCAATCGCCTCACAAACCATGTGATTTGTTGTTCCCATTGAAACATGCTTTACAAACAGAGGGTAGCAGCAGTGATACTCTCAGGCGGAATGTTCTCACTTGATGTTTCAGTAGTTAGTATTTTAAGATTAAAATGTCAACAAAATTAAATATTTATAGAAAAATACTCAAATTAAATAGAACATAGACAGACCATTCTTCCCAGAACTGGATTTGGTAGTTTGAAAGAATAAGGAAATGTTTATGTCCCTGCAATCATCAAGTAATAGCTATAAAATTAACAGTGCAGAATCCCTACTCAACCCATTCAATGTGTATATGATGCAGAATCATAACCAGCCTAGACAACATGCATGTATAAATATGTCGAGATTTATTAAGGAGGGGAAATCTAATTATTCTATTTTGATTTACTTGTTGAAGATGAATCTCTTGCTTCATAATTTTCAGAGGTGTCAAGTACAAATACCTTGTTACTGTACTTAAGTACACTTTTTAGGTATCTATACTTTACTCCATTACTTATTTTTCTTCCTACTCTCACTTCTACTCATTACATTTTAACAAAAGTATCTGTACTTTCCATTTCATACATTTTTAAAACAAACGTTACTCGTTATTCTTGGCTTAAGTTTAATGTTTAAAAATATTTATTTCCCATCATGTGCTCCATCCAATGCAGATCATTGGCGCCATCCACATCTAGTGAAAATTAGTGTAATTGGATGAGTCATATAACTCAAACACTCATTGGTTAGATAAAGGAAATCATCA